ATACATTATGGTCACCCAATGTAGTTGCAAAATAATCTTGCTATCATAAATACGTAATTTGGGGAAGCAATTTTCAATAACTTGATTTCACCAGTATATCGTGTCCTATCTACATGCCATAATATCCTACGATAAATCGACAAAAACCTACAAATGTCGCGTGACATTTTGTGACTTCTCTAACAAATACATGGTTAATTTCAGCATAAATAAACTAAAAATATTCATGAACGATGGGGCTTCACTGGAATACTATAGTTCTCCAATCACTTTTTGGAGCAAAATTCTGAAGATCAAAACACATCATGTTGGAAAATCTTACTTACCAAACAATATACTGTGTCGATAATGGTATACCTGTGAAATTACCTACAAACAACGCCAACTTTGGCGGTACATTGGCAGGCGGCTCAGGTTACAAATTAACATTTCTGGGTGATCTGAAGGAGCTCATCAGAAATACATTCCAAGCCTTGAAAACCACATGTCGACAGAATGTAAATCAGAAAAACCTGTGGTTGTTTCTACCAACTTAGTCAGTGGTAACGAGGCAAAATAACTCAATAATGAAATAACAAGGGTCTGCTATATAGCTTGGTTATTTTTAAATCCGCTAATTGACGTTCAAATATTTTTACAATCATTGCCAAGTGCATTAAAACGCACTGACCGTATTTTTCTGTTCTTTCAGAAAATATTTTGGAAGGCTTCCTTATTTTATGTTTTTACAGAAAGTCTACGGTACAATAGTGCATGTCATCGTCCATATATATACATTTTTTCAAATCCTACGACAACCAATCAGTCGTATTATTATTATCTTTTATGTTTATAGATACACTTTTTAGATTAAACAAGGCTCCTAACGGGCACCTAATGCTAGATGCTTTAGCCTCTCTGCTGAAGACATGTCCAAGTTCTTGGATCAAGAAATATATTACCAGTAGTTATGTGCCACGTATGACATATTAACAATGATGATATATCTGAAATATATAATGCTCAAAAAACAACAATGGATTATCAGATCGATGTTGACATCACCGGGTTTTGAGGCTGCCAACAGAATTTCACATAACCAATAGTTTTATTCTTCTTATTATCTTTGCCTTACTTGTATATGGTTTCGTCAATCAACGCGGCATTCATTCCAAAGTAAATATAAATTTTGTGATACTTTTTTTGGTGAAGTGGGTACTTCTATTTTTGAAATATTTGTCAGAATAATTATAACTGAAGATTCTTAATAATACTACAAAGCGAATGAAAAAATAATATAGGGAGATCATTTATTTCCAATTTCATATACATCTATTTCACATCTGATGTTGCAAAGAACAGTACCTATAAATTCGAGGATAAGTCTATCGGAAAGCGGTTACGACGGCGGCATTCAAGTGTTTCAAAATCCAAGAACATCATAATCTAATGAATTGGCTTAATTAAACTACATATGTAAAGTAACCAAAAGTGTAAATGTGCATAATTCATACTGATAAACCATTACACCACTTGTCCACTTACGAGTGTCTTCACATTTCAAGCCTTTAAACGCGACTCGTGACGACGAAGGGATTATTACAAAACGGAAGATTTCCAACGAACTCCTGGAATTCGGAATTTTCAAGATAGCAAAAACAACCTTGAAAGTTATACGTCGCTGTTTGTTGAAATCCAGCATATTGTGTATAAACCATTACGTACTTAAGTTTGGTTTTTGGGATAATATAAGACCTAAAACGTACCGACTATTTATCACTTGATATTACATGTACCCCGAGTGTATGTACCGGTATGTATATATATTTTTTTACAATGCTACAAGTCCAAAATCATTCAATCCTGATTCGAGATTATCTCATAGTGTTTTTTCACTTGTTGTATCAATGTATCTTCACAATGCACAAGATCGTAGCCCGATTGGTCTTGTCTGCTGGCACTTTGAACAGACTATCTTTGGAGTGTAAATGTAATTTGACCATAAAAAATTCTATTCACACATTCTACTAAACACTTTTTATACTACTCCAAGATTTTACAGTTGAAATGGAACTATCTAACTCTTATTATTTGTCATCCTTATTCTCTGTATAATTTTGATGATCAGTTTTAATGAGTAAGAAATTGGCCACAAAATTCAGAATGTACAATCAAATGGACTTGACTGTGTCTTTTAAACAAATCTCTTAAATATTATTTTGAATATGAAGTAGCCATTACATTCTAAATTGGGCCATATTAAACAAAGATAGCATCGAAGTCAAGAGCGTAGCCAGCCCAAAATTTTTGGGGAAAAGGCAAATTTTTTTTTTGTATAATGACGTAATACCTGATCACTGGTGCCTTTTGCTGCGAACAAAGCCAGATAAAAGTATGGTAGTCAAAGACATCTAACAAAATTTTAAATCCAGGAAAAGTCTGGTTCACAGTAAATCGTTCAATAATAGAGCAAAATGGTGTAGGAAAACGCGTATGAATTTATGTCTTAGGTAACAACAAAATTGAATTTAAAAAAATGTTTAAAATGTTGAGGGGGATGGTCCCTTATTAACCCTTCCTGGCTACTACTATGATCGAGGTCCGTGTATATTTAATCGTTTCAAATTTGGAAATGAAGGAACGTTGATGGTGGTTTCTAGAAATTAAATCAACACCCCCTAGCAATATACAGAAACAGGGTATTTGCTAAAAAAACAAGCTCACAATGTGATTTTCTAGCATAGCAAAAGTTTTTTATTTTCAATGATCCTGAAACATGTTAAATTAGACCAGTTACCAAAATATATGTCACATAATTATAAGAATTATATCGTACGTGAATGGATTGTGATACATACAGTTAGTTATTCACATTTTCACATTAGTCACATTTTTGCGAAATTCACTTTTTTCAATATTTTGGGGTTTTGAGCCATGCTCTACAAGGTGGTGGTCTTGAAATCCTGAATGGCTGAATTTCTCAATAATAAAAATTTTAGCTGAACTTAGGACTGTAGAAGTTAAGAACAGAATGGGCCTAAGTCCAGCTAAAATTTTTAATATTATGAAATTCAGAATTTCAAGACCACCACCTTGTAGAGCATGGCTCAAAACCCCAAAATACTGAAAAAAGATAGTCCCAAGTTCCAATATGATGGGCATGAACACCAGAAATGAAATGTCCGAAAGTTACATCCCTAAAAATTTCTTCAGCGCAACTTAGGCCTAAGTCACCTTGTTTTACCTTGCATCCCATACAAAAAAATTCAGTTGTTGAGAACAGAATGGGCCAAAGTCCAATATAGGGTTAAAAAAGCAGGAAAGAATTGAAGCTGAAGTGCCAAAAAATATTGATTACAAAGATATTCACATCCACATTAAAATAACCAGAGCTCAGGTCTTTACTAAGTGTGAATATCTAGAAATTCAAAAATAAAAAAATTCCAAATTGTTTTTTGCGTTTTTCTTAAAACTCAAAATTGTGACTTAGGCCTGTTCTGTTCTCATCCGGTATATTATACCAAGATTTTACGTCATAATCAAATCATATCTTTCTAATTTCATTATGATAAATTTTTGAACATATTTGACATTGGAATAGATATTCATTTCAACTGAATTTTGCTTCGTTGAAAACTGCCTCGGTGACATCACAATAGAACCTTAGTGAATGTGCATCTATCAAACAAGTCACAAGATGGCTAATGTCACAAACAAATATGACATAACTTATGGTCACTGACACTAAAATAAATTGGTTCATGTCAATATTCAGGATTCAAATCAATAATTTTTAATTATTCAAATCTGCAAGAAGGTCAGTATTGATTATCCTATTATTAAAGAATACTTTGGAATAATGCATGTGGCGCTGTGAGCCTGTGACATTGATTTTTTTATTATTCTCCTCAATTGGGTTACAGCATAGGTATTTTTCACCATAGTGAAACGCCAAACAGCAAACAATGCACTCCGATTAAAAACATAACAAAGTTAAGTGAAAATACTACAATTGTCAAAAAATTATCATTTATCTCACAAGAAAATTATATTATACAAAAGTAAACAATGAGAAAATAACCCATGAGAAGTTCTAAAACCCGTATATAAACCATTTTAAAATGTGGATAAAAATATAAAAAATATAAAAGGGACAAGTTCGACATTTTTGAAACATAATATACTTCGCCCTGATAATTCTCAATATTACAATGCATGTATGGCTGTATATCTATATATATATACACTAGGGCTGGGAATTTCAGGGGGGAAACTTTAAACGTTAACCGAGTAAAATTAACCGGTTAACCGCAGCGTGACGTTTGACGTAATAGGTTACAATTTTAGATTGTTACGACACGATGGTTACAAACCAATCTCGAGTTATATTATTCCAGTATCGCTCAAAATCATTCAAGAATGGAGATAGTATCATGATCGCTCTGCTGCAAGAGATATGCAGCGTGCTTCGGACATAGGGAAGTATTTTGGTGAAACCCTATTCCGTTATTAAATGTCATTTATGTGACAAATTTTAAGTGTTCGATTTGCAAATTCTACTTTGAGATATCACAAGGAAGAACAGCATCAACTGCGCACTTGTTGGATGACATTGAATAGACGCTTTTGCAATAAAATCGTGAACAATATATTCTGACCGGAATCGGATTCTGAATTTATCCTTGTGAAATTTTCATAGTCAGTGATATTGGTACTTCAATAATTTTCTACATTTTTTGGTGCTCACCAATACAATCAGTGATATTCTCATGAATTAAACGCCACAGGAGATAAATTTGGGATAAATTGATCATTTTTGAAGAAATTGTACATTATAAAGATGATTTGTACTTGAGATGTCAGTTAACGGTTAAAATAAATCGTAACCGTTAACCATCTGAAATCGGTTAACCGGTTAACCATTCCCAGCCCTAATATACACACAAATGAATTTTCAGTAACTGCTAATAACCATTGTCCGAAAATTCTAGATACATATCAACTATGGAGTAAATACTTACATCATTTTCCTCAGAGGTCACAGTATTAACAGCTGTAGCCGCATGCAGTCCATTGGATACATAGAGCTTCGGCATGCTCCTTTTCACGCCTGAATAATGATCATACAGCATTTTACCACTGATGGCAACTCCACACATTGTGCAAACTCCAGCAGATATCAAAAGTTTTCTCTGATGTTCTGTCTTGACCCTCGACATGTGAAGGCTACGTATATTGGTACACAGCCGAGGGCATATTCTAGCAAACGGCATAATGAATGTAAAACTAAAAAAATGTGACATGATTAACAAATTTGAATAACTAAATAAATAAAAGACCAGTATGTGGAGCAGAGACATTGGGGTTGGTAGCACTAAATACTGAAGTATGATTTCACATTACTGCAATACCACCAAGAAGTATGCAGTATACATTCAAAAATACTATTCTGTGTGGCAGGAAACAAGATAATAATCAGGATGATAATACTGTAATAAGGATAGGATTTACATATTTATCCCAAGGGAGAGGAAAGCCGATAAGTTGCTTGCTCATATGGCAAACCTCGGCCCCTTGTCCAGTTACCAGTCTATGTAAGGTATGGGACTTGATAGTGGAGGAATCCGCAACCGACTAGCAGTTACTTGAACCACCCTACAGTGGTGAGAGGTCCAGCAGTCCTCTTGCACATAACTATCCACGCATGGGATTCAAATCTGCGAATCCACGCAAGGTAATCACAGGTGCGGTGGCGAGTGTATTCCTAACGCTTAGCACAATGCAATAAAACAGTGATTAATAAAATTTTAACTGTGAGTCAAATAACAAAATCAATTCACAATCGAAACTTCATAGATTACGAGTTGGTAACACAAATACCCCTGCATTTCATCACAAATTACATATACCGGTAGTAAAGCACTGCCCTCAGGTGGATATATCCAGAAATCAAATTAACTGTAGAACACAAGATATCTTAAATTCTTGATTTTATCAATAATTTTGAATAGTTTTAGTTGAAAAATTATTAATGTGGGCAATTGATTGTATCAAAGGATTTCCAAAAAGGCCTTTATTTAATTTCTGAAAACTGTAAGAATAGAAATTAGAAATACAGAAAAAGGGGACCAATCAAATCCATGTTTATCGTAAGGTTTACGCATGTCTGCATGTACAAAGGCAACTTGAGTAGGCCTACCTGTTCTTTGCTGAACATTAAACATGGCAATTCTGAATATATTGAATATTCTAATTTCGAAAATATTATCGATATAACAGTAACTAAATAGGCCTACTCGGCTGAAGCAATTCTAATCTTTGAATCTAGATGCATTTTCTGATTTTAGAAATAACCAATTCTAGCATTCCTAATCACAAGAAGAGACAGATGGTGTTTGTACTCTAAAGTCTAAACCATACCCGTTTTGCTTTTTGTTTAAAATATTTATTATTGCCTGGGCTTGGTCACTCACTAATCTGAACCTGCTGCCCTTAAAAACTTCAGAACTTTGAAACCAGAAACTTTGGTCACCCTCAAATACTGAAATATGAATCCTAGGACACAATCTGACATTAGGCTCGACTATGTGATTTGTACCATACTCTGTGCAATAATAAATGCAGACCCTGGCCAGAAAAACACATCAAAAAGACGTGAATCTATAAACTGATAAAACAAAAACACAACAGACCGGCAAACGCCAGCAAGTGTATCTGGAGTTTATTCATTTTAATCCTCACCGCTCAACCGTAACGTAGCTATGTCTGGCTGGTTTTCTACGTCATCCCAGTCGTGAGACATTTTTTTAATTTTCGAGTATGTCTGATCACAGGTGGTGAAAATCTTCGCGTCGTTCGCCACTTCATACACACATATTGTTGTTGTGGATCACTGTGCCAATCGATTTCTCTGTTCTAATAAGCAACATGAAAAGGCATATATATTATAGAATTTTTTTTTATACAACAGTATGTCAAAACATTTAAAAATTCCTCTCTACTTTCCAGTTTTCTAGTTTTAAAGTTGCGATAAAACGAGTACAACAGAAAACTTTGTTTGAGTTCAGTCTTTGGTGTATCATGAAATACTAAAAATAACTAATTTTCGAGTGTGGGTCGAAAGTTGTGGAAGACATCATTAAGTATAAAATAACTGTTTTTGAAATGTTGCGCCTCTGACACATATTGATACAGAAGCGTTGGATTTGGAAGCGGTTATTGGAATGCATCGCTTATCTGTGAACATGGTGTTGAGCACTACGAAGTAGTATTATCGTATTCTCTTCACGAACAATTTAGCGGCTACTAACTCACACGACACATTCCAATTTGGTTCCAATATTTTTTTTATCTAAATCGATCCGTTATGAATTATAAATAAAAAGTCGAAACATGTCAATTTGTAAGGTTACTTGTGATACTTGAATGATAGAAAAGTACGGTTTTCACTAGGGTGAGGTTTCAACCGACTTAAGTATTTTAATACAGTTGACAAAACAAGGAAACTTGAACTATTCATTCCATGCTTCAACTTTGTTTAAAAGCTCTCAACAACTTATTATTTTGTTGGGCACACGTCCTCCTTTTGTGTCTTGAGATACCATTATCATTACTTATAATATTCTTATCTTGACGCATTGTCTGAATAAATGGTTCACGCCTCTCCGTAGGGGTATCAGATAAGGATGCAATTGAAGAGCATCAAAATGAATTATATGCTTGATGCGTGCCATCAGTCTCTATGTCAACGTTTACCGGGGTTTTCAATATTGTCCTTCATTTCAGGTAACAAGATAGCCGGAAGATAGTAATTCAAACGCCACTCGAGCGAAGTGCACCCGGGATGTACAATCAATGCCTTGAGGTCAATGTCTTAACAAAATGATTATTAAGCCACAATTGAGTTACAAACAATCAATTCTTGTCGTCTCGGCGTGACGTTATGATCGAAATAGAACAAGAGCAAACCGTAACCTTTTCCATCCCTTATTATATGCGAATTGAAGGTTACTTTCCTACAATTCGAATTTTTCGGAAATTCTGATTTATAGCAAATTTATGAAAATAAAATGAGAATACAAAACAACGTAGATAACTGTCTGCAAATATATGTGGATATTTGAATCGCAGCAAAATGAAGCAATATAATATATTAAATATCAAAAAGACATATTATATATATATATATATATTAGAACGAAAGATGAAAATGAAATTCCGGGACGAAACTCAAACACTCCCCATTTATCACTAATATTATTACCATACAAAACGCAGCATTGCGAATGGAAAATCATTTATAGGCTTAACGTCACAATCGGCACATCAAGTGGGTCCAAGTACGTAATGATTAGTTTGATAATTTAAAGGTATTGAAGGCTTGACATGTGATAATGCCAGCTTCTGACGCAGTGAGAGCGCATAGAATGAAATTTACGTCATTGTGAGAATTAACCATTGGTGATATTTTGCACACAAAGTATGTATAACAATAGGTAGGATATTATGATTTTTGGAAAATGCTACTAAATAACTACTTTTGAGTCTCTCGTCTCCAATGAGCAGTGCATAATCGTAGATTCTGACTGTTCCTCTCGACGATTCCTATAAAATCTACTAAATACCTACTTTTGAGTCTCTCGTCTCCAATGAGCAGTGCATAATCGTAGATTCTGACTGTTCCTCTCGACGATTCCTATAAAATCTACTAAATACCTACTTTTGAGTCTCTCGTCTCCAATGAGCAGTGCATAATCGTAGATTCTGACTGTTCCTCTCGACGATTCCTATAAAATCACTTGTTGGATAAAACCAAAGATTCGGGCAATAAATGGAAATACGCACCACCAAGGCAGGTAATACATCCATATATCTTTGATACACAGGTGCTATCGTTTCAAATACCGAACTTTGTCAAAGGGATAATGTGTTACGCCGTACGAGTTGAAAGGACAGTGCGTTATCAGTAATAAAGAGTGAAGTGTGCTTTCGTGTGCTTACTGCCACGGGCGTATTATGCTTCGTGTGCCCCATGTGGACATTAAACGTGAATCGCTTAATAATGAAATTGAATTTTCAAAGTATTCTATTCTAAAAACAATTTTTAGACATAGAAGCGCGAATCTCTCATAATTACATATATATCCTCAAACTATAGTCTAGTCTAGTTAAAAATAGGTCGGATGTGAATATATTGAAAAATTCTTTCAAAGGCTTGGAATTTGGCAGACTTCATGCAGCCAGTAGTGAAGACATAACTGGGTTTAATCATTTTGATATCGTTTGTTTTTGACTTCCTAATGTATTACTATGTATTATCTATATCACTTCATATTGAACTCTTCTGGACATAAATGCTATCTATCGACGCGCGGCAGCGAATTGAAACTCAGAGAGTTTGAGAATTTTTATCAGCGTTTAATTACAGCAAGGGTCGAGGCACGCTTTTTTTAAAAGAATTGATTCCGCGTGCTTGCGATAAAGATAGAGATAACAACGGCCGACTTTGTTGGTTCATGGAGCGTCGGCCATGGGTAGAGTAAACATATCCGATCACAAGTATTGTTTCTGGCTTTAAAACACAAACATATTATATTTGTCAAGTCTTACGGTATAGATTCCTGCATACGATAACACCGAAACTACATAATTCTGTTAGAAACTAAATAAAGAAGGTCGTGATTTTTTTAGCTATATATGACCTAATCAAGAGATTACCCTTCATTCTTATGAGACAAAACAGACGTTTTTTAAAAAATGATTTCAATCGGCTTTTCCACTTGAACAACTTTTGAGATATTGATCACAGTTCGATTTAAAATTAATTATAATCCGGAGATTAGTTTCAATTAATTTCGAATCAGTGGTTTGGGACTTATAGTAGGTGAGATGCAAGAATAACTCGCGCGTCACTGCGGTGGTTGCATAATTTTAGAGAGGGTGTGAAAGGAACATTAAAATCCAGCAAGGCCAAAATCGGCTCTCCCGTCGCGTTGTTTGTTCGTCTATGCATAATCCGCGATCAGCAATTTCGCCCCTAGCGCAATAATTTTCGCGCTTCATACGAAGGACAATTTTTACACACTTTACTAGAGTGACATCAATGGGAAAGGTTCATTATTCGAAAAGTCTAAGTCCAGTAACCAACCAGTCCAGTAACCAACTCCTGATTTTTAGGTTTCCATTGATTTGTCATCGAGCTCATTGTGCGGTAATATTTGAATTCAGGGATAGTTTGCTACGTAACGTAACTAAATAGAAACGACGTTGTAGTGGCTAATTCAAAGGTGCTTCAAGACATAAACACGATCGAAGTCATGTGCAGCCGAGAGTAACATCTGGTAATATTTGTCATCATGATAGCGGAATGATATTCTGTAGATTGCCAGATGTAGTTCAGTAAAAGTTTCATTATTAGTCACCAACACCGTCCAGGATGTATTTGAGCTGCTCTAAATGAGTCCGTAAATGTCGATTTCAGGAAGGCCCCGTTAGTCATACGTGCAGTCAGGTGTAACTACGCGTAGGTTTAAAAGCGGACGCGTTCAAGAAATTGGCGAGCACTATCCATCAGATCCATTCAAGCCGCGTCAGTTATAAGCGCGGATCATTGCCGCGAACTATTGGTCGCTGCATCAAGATAAGTCGAACCTCCTGTGGACTTGAGCAGAAGTGCGCGTGCCAAAGTTGTAGTTGGTTCAAATCTGGTACAGTTGTAATTGGTCTTTCAGCTTAATGCGTATAAATCCTCGGGATAATTAGAGCAGTTAATAAGCCTTCTGTCATAAGAATAAACGAGTTATTAAGAGAAAAACGTTCAAATAGGATTACCAAATTGATCGTTTAAAATGGAGTCTTCCATACCTAGCAATTAGAGCACTTTCGCAATTAGTCGACCAAGAACTTTCTTCTGGGCCGTTAAAAGTATGTACTATCGCTCGCTTGGTTGTACTTCTTTTGAAGATGAGGTTGACTATTGATGTATTGCTTATCTGGTCATTCAAGAATATATGAGACAGAGATTTTAGATACAGATTAAACATTAATTTCAAATAAAAGTAACATATAAGGTAGTGTGTCGATTTAGCTTTAGATATGGCGGAATGACTGAATGATAAAACCTATAAAAAACTATAGAGTGTGTGTATCTTGTTTTTGTTATCAAAAATTGATAACGTTTGATAGTGACGCCTATGATGTACTTTAAGTTCTGATAAGAATTGTTATTTATCTTTTTAGCGTCGTAAGCTATATAATATTCAAGTGTTATTGAATACCTGTTCATTCTGTACGCACAACCACCAAGACGACTATTGTATGCTGGAAATATAACGATTATAATTTTTATAAAATGACAAACTTGCATTCTACTGCAGTTGTGACGGACCTTGCAGGAACTTCAAACACTGGCGCATTATCTTCACTTTTAGTTGCAGCTATATTGCGAGCAAAACGGTTCGCGCTGCCGAGTGAGAGTCCGCGGGACAAAACAGGTTTTTTGTTCGGAGAAGGTATGCGGGCACCGGCGTCCCAAGTGAGTAAACTAGCGACACCCACGAGGAAAACAAGAATGTCCAGAAGATTGAAAAAGTCTACAGGAATTATAGTGGAAAAGTTCGATGCCGAAGACGACACTGTACCCCAGGGGATTACAAAAGAATCTATCCCAATTGTTCATGATCGGTTACCAGATCCGAAAATGTGGGAAAAACTACAACTAGGACACGAAATCGATATTGAGGAAATAATCGATATTTCAACAAATCCTAACCAGAAGAAAGTGGACGATCCTGACTTAGTAACTACAGAAAAAGACGTACTTCAACATCAAGCTGTGCATAATTTATCAAAAAGAAACATTTCAGCTAATTTGGAAGGAATTACTAGACGGAGACAGTTATATTGCCGTAATGGATATCACTTGGAAATTTTACCCCACGGCCAAGTTACGGGAACAAGAAGGGATCATAGTAGATACGGTAAGTGCCATATTGTTTTATACATGCGATTTTTATTTCGCTATGCGGTGGATTTTCACATATATTGTAACACCTCTTTATCTCACTCAAAGATTGAGCAATTTAACCGTCGAAGTCATGCCTATTTTCATATGATTGATACCCGAAGGAAGCCACAAACATAATAGAACGAAAAATTGAATGTGAAACATCACGACTTTGTGATTGTTATCATAGCGCAGTACCGGACTTAATGTCATTATTTGTGATTTATAGTTGAGCCCCATAGCTATTTTAGGACAATGCTGCCATATGAGTTGAGATACGACAAAGATATTCCACACGCGAACCTGCAAGCTTCGGTCAAATTAAGTGTAACTGGATCCCGCCTATAGACTGGCTATGCACGGGATGCTTGATATGATTTCTCCCAATATGATGGTCCAATGGCCGAAGACACTTTCTCACATAAATAACACATTCAATATGTGTTTACTTCAATAAAGAAACTATCTGATATCTATTTGATGAAAATTTGAATTTGTTTTATAATGTAATCTATTTTTACAGGAATCCTTGAATTTGTGTCAATCCATGCCGGAATCGTTACCATAAGGGGCGTAGAAACTGGTCTTTATCTTGCTATGGATAACAGAGGAAAATTATATGGATCGGTAAGTCAAATTATCCTACTTTATAATTACTACTATGGAATAACTAACTACATGAATATATATATACATATTTTCAATTATATGTCAATATTTGTAGAGTGGAAATATCTAATTCCCGTAGTAAAACATTCGACATTTGCACATTTTCTTATATATGTTTGCTTTCGTTTTCACAGGAAAATCTTGATCAAAACTGCTTCTTCAGAGAGCAATTTGAAGAAAACAAGTACAACACATATTCCTCGCTTCGACACCGACACCATTCGAAGACGAGAGCGTGCTTCGTTGCCATCACCCAACAAGGAAGAGCACGACAAGGATGTCGATCAAAAAGATCCCAAAAGTTTACACACTTCCTCCCAAGACTTGTAGACCCCAGAAAAGTACCATGGCATTACGAGGGTGAAATCTATTAAGCACCATCAACTTTTCCACCGTATGCAACCATGACTTCAATGGGGTTTTATCCATCTACTGCCTCTGATGATTCAAAACATATATTTAAAAATTTAAAAGTTTTAATTATATGAGAAAATGCCTATTTCTTCACATTTGCGATCTTAGCAGTTCACCGCACAAATATAGTTGCTATGAAATGATGCTGGCATCGATTAATCGACAGCTTATTAATCTAAACGACGAGGAGCAACTTATGCACGTATTTATTTTTATTTCTCAATTTTAAAAATAGAAATTCCAAAATTTCGCACGATTTGACGAAAGAAAGAATAAGTAGTATTACTTCAACAGTTATTTTATTGCACCACGCACCTAACTAACAGTTTATCCTCTGTTACTTTACATTTCATAATTATTTTATCCGCTTGCCATTCGACGACTTTTTCCAAGTGAAAGGACGCCCTATTATTTATGCCGAGTGCAAAAACTGATGTTTTTCTTTAATTAATAAATATATTTTATCGTTATTAACGTTATTTTATAAATACCTATTTATAATGTCATTTTTTGCGCATCTTTGTGCTGCTTTTATTGTCTCGTTATGTTGGTTACTGACTTATCAGTGTCTTTTAATATTTTATTCAATTTTTTACGTGTTTGCAATACAGATCACTTGAACAATCATAACACGAGCTTCTGTCTGTTCATTTTGCGTGGTGTTACTGCTCTGCAATTCTTGAGCAAGCGAGTGTAGATTTCTTTTAAAATTTATATCAAAGTCTTACACTCATGTCTGAGTAAAGGTCGATGCTACACGAGACCAAAAATGAATCCGGAATTCTGTTAGTATAGGTTCGCAGAGAATAGTTATCCACCCAAACTGCGGTCGCAGGCCCAGTGCTCTATATCTAAGTTAAAGCATATTAATGTGTCAAATATACACCAAAGTACGTCGCTTTATCTTCATCATGTCTCGCGATATGATCGCTAATTTCCATTAAATGCACGTATTGGGGGATCAAATTTGATCACGAATTTCGTATACATTACTGCGTATAATTTATATGGTATTCAAAACGAAAAATAAAACACGCAAACGAGAAAAATATGGGAACTGCTTCCGGGACGTTAAATCATTGTGGTCTATTATACCATTGTATAAAGTTTATAGTGTATTGTGTAAAAATGAAGATGAGAAAAGGCCTTTTCGACAATTTGGCATTGAATATGCGCAGAATACCAATTCCCCGAAGGAAGGCAAAAAACTATCGCTTAGCAAAACTTTGTAAGTCAGTCAATTATGATCCATACTTTAGTTGTCAGTAATAATAGGAAACAAACCTATATTATAAATCTAAGAATTGAAAAGGAAATTACCCAGCAGTAAAGAAGATTTACTATCTTCGCACATAAAAAGACAGCAAACGGAAAGCTGTGAAAATGTCTTGTTATTATTCCATCACTGGTGTGAAAGGTGCGTATGTGCACCGGGAGAGAATATTCACACCCGAAATGGTACAAGGTGGTAAACGCAACATAATTACAAAATTATCGTAGAAAAAAACTCTGCGGCTCCACTTAAACTTAAAATTAGAAACTTTTAGTTAACTATTGAAAAATTAACCTATTATTGTTCAGGCCCAACTTTAAAGTAACTAAAAATATAACCATAAAAGGAATTTATTTAAATAGACAAACTGGTTATTATTTATTCACGAGGAAGTGAAAATAATGGGAATCATGTTAGAAATAGAAGAACGGTAGTTTATTCAAGAACTAACCAGTGCACAACTAAATTACAACCTTATTCTGTGCGTCATAATTTAATTGCTTTGTCTAATTATGTTAACGCACAGACAAGCTAGTCGTGGAAACTGAATTAGGGGCAAATCCGAGCTCTCTCATTACAGCGTTAGTTGTCGGACGAAATCAAAATCGTTTATCATTCGAATATTCAATAACGCATTGAAACTATCAGAAAAAAGCGACAATCCGTTAATATGGAAATGACTGCTTTCTCTTTCTAAGCAAGCTTAGAATAAAATTGTCTCTTTAACGCCACCTTAAGGATACGCAATAACTAAACGTAAATTTGTACTCACAAACGAATGTTACAACGATGTGCAATTTTACCGTGATTAACTTCATATATTTTGCAATGCAGCCGGCATGAAAAGGCCTTAAGAACTGTAATTATATATATCACCGGAAGTGAACTTTATTGAATCCGTTTGCTCTTTTTCTCTTGCCAAGAGATCCATGACACCGGTATAAAAATAGTAATATAATTGTAAGCACATTGAAGGCCAACGATACCTTACTTTCACACAGAATTGCAATCGCAAATGAAAGATTATTTTGGACATAAGAGGAAAATGTCTATGAAATAGGAATTATCAATTGGCTGTGAAGGTTGTTTAGCTGAAGAAAAGCTGATTGACTGCGATTTGACCTCTGTTCAGGGGTTCAATTGATAGTAGGCCTATTGACGAAAACGACATTAATGGGCGCTCCTGAAGCATGTGCACCAAGATGGCACACAACCTGAACCCTAACCTGGTACACATGCAATGTTCAATTTGTGCGCCATCTTGGTGCACATACTTCTGGAGCTCCGTTTGGAGTACATACGAGCAGTATGCATGTCAGAATATTTGACAATTTGAGTCCTACTTGATGTCACGGCGAGTCAGTTTATATTAACATCTCCCACTATTATAAAATGTTTTACTGAATTTTGACAAATAGTTTCAAATATGTTTCATGTCAAGTTTTGCGTAAAAAAAACCTGGCATCAGGGTGCCCTGATAGAATGCAATATAAGTACTCCCCCCCCCCCCCCCTTCTCGGGCGACCCTCTAATAAACGTTAAAGCATTTTCAGTCCTGCATAACCTCTGATAGACATTGTTGCGTTAGGTGGGTTGTGGTTATTTTAAAGGGGATGAACATAACTAAAGTAGACCCAGGATTCATTTCCAAAGGGAATGTAAATATAATAAATATATAGCCTACGCCCTGTGGTATATAGCCTGGAGCAGTGGTATATAGCCTACGCGGGAGATTTCCAAGTGGTACGCGAGCAGATTTGAATTATTGCAACAATTAACCTTTCAGTTGGCCAAAATATGCCGGCAACGCTTTATCTTCCTTACTGTATGTATTCGCTGAACAGCGTTTATGGATGTTTCCCCAAGCATCAGTTTCCTTGTTTATTTCCGTAACTATAACCAATCAGCAATAGGTCAATAAGGACGCTACACGTAACAATTGCAATTTCTGCACTCAGCCACTCAGACACTTCTGTCGCTCAAACATTGCTTCGTTTTTGTAGTTTTGAGTGATATTTGTCAGTTTTCAGTTGTGTTCCAAGAAAATAATAGTGAATTAATCAACTTAATTGTCATTATGTCTTCCGCGGAGCTTTACTTTAGTTGCAGTGATCAAAATTAAATCTCGCAAATGCTGCGATGGACTAAAGGCTAAACTTAGCTAATATATATCAGTACCTGCAAACAGCCCATGGTTGATTAATTTTAATAAAAATTATGGTTTCAAACACGTAAACCAGTTTATATGCGCCAACACACCATAACACTCTCAGAATAAGCATAAAGTTTGCAATGGTAAAGTATAAGAGTCATTTTTCCGGGGTCAATGGTCGGGGAAACGTCCATAGCACTGGTGCGGTATCGGTCCTTGTCTTTAGAGATCGCCCTCGCCCGCTATTGCCCACCTTAAATGTAGCGATATGGGCATGTTTTTGTTCGTTTTGCATGTTACGCCACAAAGGATATAGTGCCACATTATAAAATACACGCATAGCATGTTTCTTGTGTCTTTTTCCCCACGCCAAAAAAGTAGCTTTGTCGGTGGTACGCGGCCATAGTAAAAAACAATAAAGTGGTACGCGGTCAGTAAAAGGTTGAGAACCACTGGGCTGGAGGGTCACATCTTCGAATAAAAATGCAACCCAAACTTTTCCAGGCTGCCGGGGTCGTCCCTAGACTCTGATTTCCCATCATAAGAAAATGAACCCTCGAGCATTCAATAATAGCAATGCCGTACAACTTTCTACTAGCTCGATAAATAAATTTACATATAAAATAAGCACAATATTTTGCGGCTCTCTAATTAGAACACATTGTAGATGTCATAAAAACAAAAAATATGCATCAAGACTGATTTTGCATAAAACGACTTGATTATCCGTTTTTCTAACCAGCGCAATAACAGAACCCAACATGGCAATAAATTTAGGACTTATTCCTGTTGTCATTGGTTTTCCTTGGGAAGCTTATTATTCGTTTTTCAAATACACCCGTGGCCGAAATACCTTATTAAAATATACAGTGTTGTGTTGGGCATCAGTCTATATCAGACATGGGAAAACTACGACCCGCGGGCCAAATCCGGCCCGTTGGGTAATTCAATCTGGCCCGCCTGATGCCGCCACAATCAAACTAAAACCAAATTTCGCTGTTTTAGCAAAAAATAGCTCAGGAAATTTGTTGGGATTGCGATGAAATTGAGTTTTGTCATGAGGCTTATCGTTTTCCACTTTGGCATTTGTAACACTGTAAATATTGTCCATAAAATGTAACTTTTACTTTATACTTACATAGCCTGCCAGTCTAGATGGGCAAAATTTATGGCCCCTGGTCTGAAAACCTTGCACACCCCTGGTCCATATTCTTTTGAAATGCTTGGATGCGATATTAACAATCTGAACATAGTATGTGTACCAGGTTAGGGTTCGGGTTGTGCGCCATTTTGGTGCACATACTTTAGGAGCGCCCTCCAAACACATTTATAGAAACTATGTGTTCGAGCATGAAGGATTTTAAAGGTAGTTCGTATGTATCATCATCAGATGTCACTGCTAATTTCCCAAGTATGTGCAAATAAAAAGACATCGGAGGCATTGATCATAAATGAAATAATATCAATGAGAGATGAGCGCTTTCTCCATTGATGTCTCTCAGTCAGATATATCATACTCTATGGCTTCTCCGACAATTTAGGAATCGGATAAGAATCAAATACTTGGAAGTAATCATACTTAGCATCCTTACTCGTGACACGTAAGAAATACTGATTTTGTAAAAAAATCAGAGGATCTTATGTTGAATAAATACAATTTGTTAGCATATCGAAAGTCAAAACAACAACATCTACGCATAATTATTGATAACTTTATCGTGTTAGACTCAGATTCTTGTAATTTGGACTATTCGTAGAATTTAAAAATCTTGTTAGTCTTATAATCGATCGGCACATCAATTCAAAATGCGAATTGGTATCAGATTGCATCCAATGAAATTAAAATAAAGAAGTACTATCCATATTTGAGTCCGGCCTCCGTATCAAAATACAATCTTTATTGATTCTATGTGCTATTGATAAGCTATTTGTACGTCTAATTCAAATGAGACAAATCGACATTCAAGAAATATAATGTAACAAATAGTTTACAGTACGTATTTTTCAAGCAAACATCTCACGCCCCGTGCGCCCTTTAGTGGACAATTACTTTTTTTCGATTTCCTTCGAGTCATGCGGGATCCGATATTTCACCAAATATTTTGCTTGAGAACACTTTTTTTATTAAATATATTTATATCGGTACTTATCTCGTTACGCTTGCCCGCATTGTTATTTTTTTTCTGGCGCTCCAGAAGCGTGTGTACCAATACGGAGGTTACTAACTTTGTTCGCCTATTTCACATCAAGCTGTGTAAAGGAACTAAAACCTATGGACTGGGAGTATATTCACTTGGCTAACACAGACAGTCCCCGAAGTCGCAATAGAACTAAAATAAGAAAAATCGGAATAAAATTTTGGCCTAACCCTAACCTGCTGGTACACCCACTACGGGAGTATCAAAAATTTTACTGGATGTTGAGCGATGTCGGAAATCACTATTTATTTTGCTATGGGCATGAAGTTGATCGGTAAACATGACATAAAACAAATTAATATTTACGTAATTTCAAATCAGATAATAGCTGCAAAACTTCATTCGTATTCATTATGTTGTTAAAAATAGAATCTGCTGGCAGTGAGATGCAGGCTACTGAGAAATCTCGGTCTTCCCTTTGTTGTTTTCAGTCTTTCGGAGACTTCGGAACCATTCGACCAAGAGAAATTTTTGTCGCTTCCTGATAATATTTAATGATCAATGTGATCTGGACTCCAATTTGGATAGATATGAATAAAGTGAATGAGGTGGTATAGTTCTTTTTAGGTGACCACCGTACTACTTTCTTTGGAAACACCTTTATATATACGCTCTGTGCCTTTTACTTATGGTTTTGTTTGCACTGCGATTCCGCAGTCAGTTTAATTGTTTTATTTTTTATCAATTATTTTATCGTCTGTTATGCCGAGTAAGGAGTTTAAATAAACGTATTCACTATCTAGTGGAATATTTATAGAAAACTTCAAGACAGCAAAAGTTCCTCAGTGTGTCAATCATTACTAACCGTGTTCAAACATTATTAGTCAGCCACATCGGATACCGTTGCTCAGTATGGCTGCCCGAGAACAAAATGCTCATCTCATATTGGTAGCCGATATATTCCCATACCCTATTGGTTTACCCCAGCATTGCCTTAAATCATGTATACAAGCTATTCTGCTACCGGTAATATCAAGTACGGTACTTATTACAATCTGGACTATACCAATTTGGCGAATGAAGTGGTGTAGCCGACCTCTTCATGCACCTAACTCGATAAATTTGGCAATCTCAACCATTATAAAATTATTAATAGGGTGGTTAATGAGGCGCTTCAATTAATAAATTTGTATATGTGCGACACAAAAGTCAAATCAAAAACAATAACTCAGTTGTGTGAAATAGATAGTTTTTTTTTATGCGTGGAAGGCTGAGCAGAAACTGATATTCAAGAGAAATCGAAAAATAAATCTACAAAATATTTACTTTGCATAAAAACCTAGTGATACTGATTATAAAGTAAATATATACATGCTATTACAAAATTCACAGAACATTGAAATGGCAGAGAAAATACTTCCTACAAGTGATCCTGAATTTTTTTAGCAACTTGCACCAAGCCATTGTACAAATATTACAATTTTTTTTATTAATATAACATTTCAAATAGACGAGTATTACAAGTCAAAGAATATTTTTGGACCACATGAATAGCATTTGCTATTTTAAAATCAGTGTACGAGCGTGCACAAAAAGTCAAAAACAATTCGATGAACAAAATGCAATCTTATCACCATTCAGTTATTTTTTTTTGACTTTTCTAGCCATGCTTGGAGATAGACTTTTAACAATTAATCATAGCCATTATGTATGAAATATTGCTGCTAATTTAGGAACATTTCTGCTCTCTCGCCTCATCGAGGCTGCCGACTTCTCTTTTTGTGATTAATTATCATTATTTTCTCCCGATAATCTGATTATGTATGGACTATTGGAGCTCAAAAGATGCGAAACACTGGTGTCAAACCAGAGTCAGACTCCATTAGCAATGAAATATAACCAAAATTATCTTGTCCAGGACACAACATGTTATAAACACTGATCACAATATACACACAGAAGGTGTTAAAAATAATCTGCATCCTTAGTGGATCATTGATTTATATATATAATATCACCACATAACAACACCAAAGCTTTGATGGTTGAGATTTTACCATGCTAGCTATAACATAAAATTAACTTCACCTCCTCAATTTAAGACTACTAGAGTAATGTTGTAATAATGAAATAGGCTATGCCTTTACAAACCAATAAGCATAAAGGTAATTTGATGACAACTTGTGCAACCTTGGCATAACAGTACTCCCAATCACTGACCATAATGGGTATTATCATCTATGTCATGATATATGTGACGTTGTTCTGTGGAATGTCTGGGATATATTCTAGATGATGATATCTTGTTTTGTCGTTCAGGTGCACGATGATCATAGTGGCCTTCAGTGGTTATTTCTCCATCTGGCGAACCCCTACGAGGATAAAACTTGACATAATTTGCAGAAAGGGAGGAAGCGTGTTTGTTTGGGGAAGCTTCAATTCCATGTGCAGCAGTTGCCATAGCATAATCTTTTTGTCTAGATCCTTCATCAAAGCGGAAATTTTCCATTTGAACATCAAGAGAATGAGTGCTTTGTCCCACTATATTTGGTGGATAAAGTACTTCATTGAGTGAATTTTCAGATGATAGATTTCTATTATTGTCACCATTGGAATTGTAAAGTTTAGAATCAGCGCCACAATAGAGAGATTGGTCATCCATGTAGTCAGAATGTGGAGAACCTTGACGCACTGACACAGAATTACTGGCACCTGCACTTTGATTAGAATTCGATAAATTAAGCGGATTTCTGTGGGAGTCATAAATATCATTCATCATTAGGTTTGTAGCAGCCTTTTCTTGTCCATGATTGCTAGATCGACTTTGAGTCCTGATGTCCACTGGATAAGGATTACTAAACTCCGAATTTCTCAAACGTTTTTCTCTCAAGTTCTCAAGCGATGTGTTGAAATTGTTCATGCTTGATGAATCAACATTCCTTGTGATATTTTTTGTCCTATTCATTCTGCTTGTACTCGGCTGTTCAGAATTATAGGATTGCATTGGACTATGTTTTGAAATTCTTGATTGTTGAAGCGAGTAATTCATTGTCTGAAATTGAAAACAATAATTACAGAATGTCTGAAGATATCTTCATGAATGAATCTTGTGGATGCACCGATTTTAAGTGTCAAACCAGACAAAGCCGGATTAATTAAAACATTTGATTTGTTTTGGACATCCCTGATCGGTTGTATTTTAACTTTTTTAAATGTAACCTAGTCCATTATGCGCCCAACTCATACCTGTACTTTCTATATATGGTCTGGGCTATTGAAAAATTTAGTATAATTCTATACAGATGTTTTACATTTTATATTCGATATAGAGAGAATAAGAGTATAAAGCTTTTGCAGATTCAAATTTGACATTTTACGAATGTTATTATATGAATTCAGAAATAATAATAGGGACGTGCTTCCTCCACTTCTTCCAGTAGGAGGTAGAAGTATCTCCGGAAACTGTTTACAAATGAATGAGTCAACGATTATTAAAAGGAAGTCCATGGGCCTTTGAACTATTCCATTTTGAATGAAAGTCCATGGGACTTTGAAATTTGAATACATTCAATTTTGAATGGCATTCTTCTTGGAATTTTCAGAAATGTTTCGCATATGGATTCTGTGTTACAAAGGAAGTTTGGGTTTTCTTTCATTTCTTTATTGTTCCTGATTTCTTCCATTCTAAATTACTGGCAGCAGATTAACAATGATTAGAAAGGTTCTCTACTTTTTACATTTCAAGAAATTGAGTGAAAAGCGTTCCTGGTCATTTTGTGAGAATTCAATTGATCAATATGACAAATTTACAACTGAAACTAGTCTAATTCATTCTTAAAAGAAAAGCGTTAGGCCATAATTTTATTCCGATCTTCCTTATTTTAGTTCTATTAAGAGTTCGGGGACTGTCTGTATTAGCTAAGCGAATATACCCCCTGTCCATATAGGTTTCACTCTCTTTACACAACTTGGTGTAAAATGGGCAAACAAAATTAGTTACCTCCATATGGTACACAAACACTTCTGGAGCGCCAAACAAAGATTATAAAATATTGAATATAGTAAATATGGAAATCTCTGAATCAGAACAAGTAAATTTTCTAATTGAAAACTCACCGCAACTTTTCTTTTGAAATGTGCATCATGTGAAATCATGCAATGAACATATGACAAGAAGAATCCAATTCCTGCTTCTGTTATTGATTGAACAACCTGTTGATTCATAGTAGGATTGAACTGGAACATACTAAGATCTTGTTCATACTCAAATCCAATAAGGTGTAAGAGTTCTTCGATAATGGAAGGCGCAAGATGTTCATACAAAGTGTATTGGTAGAATCCGCTGTAATCCTGTTATTACATAATAAATCCATTGGAACATTGGGAAAAATAAATATTATCGAAGCATAGCACAACTCGACACATAAAAAAAAAGCAACAAGTTATAGCGATATTATAAGCTACCTTGTCCACACAAAGCAAAAAACAGCATTTTTTTAATTAAATATTTAACCTTTGGCACTATTCACCGTATGACAGCTACTACTTATATAAAGATGGCGTGTGAAGTGATGTCACCATGTTAATTGCTGTAGGTGGGATGTTGTATTTATATCCTGGAAGCTTCCTCATTATCAAATAACATTCAAAGAATTTAATTAGAAATTAATGTTTAAAAACATAGCAGGGACAGTTTTTAGAAATATTTAAATTGCCAAGTATTTATGGAAAAACTAGTCAAATTACGAAGTAATTCACTACAAAAAGTTAATCAATGAGAAACTTGGTGCTTCATCAAGGTTGAGGCAATATCTGGTACTCAATCTTATAAAACATGGATTCACCACAAGAAGAAAAGGGTAGTTCGATGAAAAAGAACAATCCTAAACAGAGGCAATGGCCCCCCATAAATATTCACCTATAGGCGACACTGAAAATGAAAAGACCAATTGCACGTCATAAATTACCACAGCATTGTTGCCAGTAGCCTCACACCGCTATACATAAGATACTATAAAAGTTGGAGAAGTCCAGCCAAATGCATCAGTACAAATATAAATTTAACTTTCAATTGGATATGTATGTTGAAAATGTTTTGTAAAAGGCATCAAACCCATAAGATAAATAAAACCATGTATGTTCCTGCATTCAGACCAGATATGCAGTTACGAGTTAACAGGAAAGAAAGATAAGTATATTGAGGAACAAAAAAAAACAAAAGCCAATGTTTACCAAAAGCCAGGTAAACAAGAGCTCTCATTGATGCTAAGAGATACGGAATATGTGCACCATATAGGCTCATGAAAAGAGGAAGTGATATACTTTTTTCGTAATTCGAAGCAAACAATGGTATAACTTTGACTGACATAACCATCGAAAAATACTTAAGGATGAATATTGTATATCCATTAGAAGTAATTCCGACTAAACATATGATACTTCTGTCCCTGGTGTTATTGTAATCAGAAATATTTAGCATGGTATAATTACCTTAATTATGAGATAATCATTCCTCCAGGGCGATCTCAAAATTTTCACACAATATTGATGCAAGACATAGCATATTGTCGCAAACTTAACTGGGTTTGTGGTCTTCCTTTGTACTCTGTTTCTGCAAAATAGAAAGGTGAAGTTAGAAGTAACTGAGCGAATAAAATCTAAATCAAACAAGATACAATGAACACAGTAGTTCCCATAGATGAATATCGTATTAGAGTATGACCAGAACAGACTATTATAATGATTCGCCTAAAGATCCCCTAGACTTGCATTTAGTTGCATATACTATAATTCTGATTATCAATGATTATGGTCTGTCATGTGATATGATGAAACAAATACAAAATAAAATTGTATAATATAACTTCATATGTCCTCTGTGTTTTCAAAGATCAAGTTGGCTTGGATCGTTACAGATATTAAAAATGGGCATTAATCAGCAAATACCAAATCAATAAATGGAAACCATGAAACATAATTCCCATTGTATAAAACCAGTTGCTATAGCTCGGTAGACACCTTCAATACCAAATGACTTGAGTGCAAAGTCATATTTTCAAGTATTTGGTGATTGGCAGTATTATCGCATATTTTTCGACAATTAACAATATACACAATTCAAAAGCACGCAAAGAATGTCATCGTCAACATCATTATTTATAAACGCTTCATTATTTTTATTAGTTGGATGATATACAATTAAGTATTTAGTAGTCAAAACATTGTATCAGCAAAACTATTCAATAAGAATTTGAACACACATAGTAGACACAAACTTGAACTCGAAATGACCTAACACCTACGATGACATAAATTAAATTACTTCACCCAAGTCTTTCAATTTGAAGTCATTGACAAATTTTGGAAGGGTTTATAAAAGCCACAGGAACAATAGTTGAGAGTCGCGAGAGCTGTGGTTGAGAATCACTGGTCTGTCAGTTAACTCATATGTCTCAATATATATGATGGCATAAGATATAGTACTCACTTTTTCATTAACTTTTCATATCTGTGCAATACTTTTAGATAACCAAGTCCGGGTTCAGGGCATGCCAATAATAAGTTATAAGCAAGTATAACTAAATTTTCAAAACCATCAAGTTCCTTGAAATTAACTGTAACCTGAAGATCTTCTGTGCACCTGAAAATAAATGATACCGCAGATTCGAAGAAGGGTCAGAAAAGATAGTTGCAGTTGAGAAAGACAATTTACTTCAGAATCAGATCTTCTCTTCTAGTTGGAAACTTCAAATACAACTTTGAGATGTAACACGAAAAATTAAATTCAAAGCCTCGCCAAATTTTGAGTCCAGTTATAATATTTCGATAGTATTCTAGGCAACTTTTTTAATCAAAGATGTTAATAATAAATGGACGTCCCCGAAATTTCATGCTCATCGCAAAGCCACCAAATTTGCATTGCCTTTTTTCGATCAATGCCAGGGATGCCCAAAACAAATCCAATATCAAATACATTCACACATTCTAGCCAAAATTCATTTCAAACATGTTGCCATAAATTCTTAATCTTAACAAAGAATGCCATAAATCTATAAGTATTTGTGACATGACAAAGACAGTACCCTGTTTTTCAATTGCCGATCAAAGCACCTCCAAAATCATGCTAAGAGTATTAAAATAATCCAGGTTTAGCCATCTGTGACTCTAGTAGAAGTTTAAGATAATAATGTATAGAATATATACATAAAGTACACAAAAACTTACAAATAATTTGGTTTATCCACAAAATATCCCCTGTAAGCATGCTTGAATTCTCTGTATGCATCCATGATTCAGAGTAGTGAATCAAAACTTAGAAGGATTAAAGTTCTCCTATAACATAACTATAAATCATCTCTGTATAATGATGCCTATTTATAAGAGCTAGTTAATAGTAAATATCAATTAATCCATGGTTGAGATAGGTAGAACTGGAAAATCGCTATTTGGGATCTCAAGATGAAATGATTATTGAAAATTAGGAACAGGAGTGAAAAATTCGAAATATTAAATATTATTTTATCTTAATCACTTATTTTTGCTTGTGAAGCACGTAAAAGCATCAATCATGGTAATCACAACCAGTATATTCAAAAAACACAGTGTGAAAATGTAGATTTATCGAAAGACAATAAGAAACACATGAAAATTTGCAACCTAATTTTCTATCCAAAACAAACATGCTATGGAGAAAACTATAAATGTAAACAACAACATGATACTGATGTACCTTGGTACTGTGGAATTAAAATACAATTTTTTGCCAAATAAATTTCAATACAAACAGACTTTTCGTATTGATATTTTAGAATCAAATTATAGATAGAGTACAATATCGTTACAACATGAGATTGGTTTTTGCCTCAACATTGTATTGTTTTAGGTTTCCATTAGATATTTTTCAAGTTCAAATCCCATTCCACCAAGTTCAAGTTATACAACTGTATAAATAAAAATAATACTATTGTCATATTTTCATAATGTGATTTATTAATTACCGTAAACATAATCCAATACATAAACTGTCAAAATTCAACCAATCTATAATATAATCCAGTGAATTTCCGTCAGTGGCATAGCCAGGGGGGTGGTTTTGCGGGTCGAAACCCTCCCCTTTTGAAATGTAAAAAAAATAAAATCAATTTTCTGTGTCATAGATAGCAATTTTCCGTAGCTTGAAATGCTTTTTAGACCCCCAAGACTACTAAAACACACGTATTCCAGCGTTCGATCGGACCCGCAAGCTGTTTCGATCTAACTTAGCAAAAAAAAATTCAGAACCCGCCCCTTTGATAATTTCTGGCTACGCCCCTGATTTCCGTGCATAAATATATATTAATTAGTAACCATGTTATTGTTAGCGCAAAAAATGAAAGACAGCAATAACCTAATAATACAAAAATTAGATAGAAAAAAAAAATTTGAGGTTTTTGTATTTACCTTACCATTACAACATTATATTCTGCATAGATCTATTAGTTTTCTTACAGTCTTATGTCCGTATGCCTTGTTCCAATGAATTAATTTATCAAAATTTATGGACGATAAATGCACTCATTCACAAACTATTTTGTGCCTACAAAACATTGTTCTTTTCTGACCAAATCTCCATGTCTTGATAAAAAGTCCCCTCCGTTATATTACAGTATTAGAGCTTCCCATCGCCATACGTCTGTCTTCACCTATCTGCCTGTAAACGTTACCGTACCGTAAGGAACGGATGAGGTTAAATTGAAAAAACACTAAAATACCACTGAAAAATACCACTGAAAAATAAAATAAAGGAGTAGATTAATTTTTTCTGGTCGAATCATAAAGAAATTTCTTCCGATTAAACGGAGGTGGTTGGAGTCACTAAAATTCTAAACCCTATAAAAAAGATATGAATGAACTTTTTTCGACGAACGGAGAGGTGGCTGAAGCAAGAAGTGGATGAAATTTCCTCTGACGGATCGTGAGATGGGTGAAATCCCAGAAGGGCTGAACCCTAAAATGAAGAAATTTCTTCCAATGAAAGATTAGTTGGATGAAGTCACTAAAAGGCTAAACCAGGGGTTTACCCGAAAATCAATAACCACAGGTTTACAACGACACAACATGAAAAGTTGCATTCATTTTATAGAAGCCATCGAACGCGTCAATTTTATGCAATGAAGTCACGAATTAACTTCGTGTGCACAAAAACACAAATAATAAGGTTATTTGAAATCGTATAAAAATTTCTAGAGATTTTAAATATCATTGTGACTACACAGAAAAATGCATTTATTGCCGATTTGTTTCATCAATATTTTAACTCAAAGCAACACCAAGATATCATGTAATGACGACTTTGATTTAATGTGAGAATAATGCAGACAAAAGTAGTGAAAGCATAAAAAGCCAACAATCGTCTTCATAAATATCCATACCCTGAGGTCAGTGCTGAAAATATTGTCCACAAAATATTAGGTTAATCTACCGAAGGTGACAAAAATGATCGAAGCCGACGCAAGTTCGAAAATTAGATTAAAGTGGAACGAAAAATCATTAACTTAATACAATAGTATCTGATTTTTAGTATTGATTTTTTTCCAATGATTAATATTCTATATACAAAGTAAACTCACTATCCTTGATTTTTGTTTTTTAGATTTTTACAAAATAAAATTGAAATAAACAATATTAGAAGATCAGCAATGCATTGAAATAAACAATATTGGATTAGTGATACAGTCATAAAAAATAATTTTTCACAATGTTTGCAATTGCAATCTAATTATGTTATAAGAAAACAGGAAATTAAAGAAAAACTCACATTTTATTTACATGCCATATAAAGACAATCAAATTGTGATGTCTTGGGTATTACCAAATCACCAGTAGACAGAAAAATTACAGTTTATTAAACGGCAAAGTCAGACGTCAGTATAACACAGCTAAACGCTAGCTAGACACTTTAAACACAAGGGTGCAATATCAAGCACGCAGACAGGTGAAAGCAAGGAGCAATTACGAGAAAACAATTATGACATCATATTCACAAATCTAGTCCGTGTTAAAAACAACAAGCTATGACCTAACACCTAAATACACAACACCCCACTCCCCTAGAAAGAAATGAACAATGTCACTAAATTAACACATTTGCAATAAACCCTCAATTCAATGTTCATTATCAATATCACTATAAATTTAATCTGTCAGGCGGTCTCCTGTTTCTGAGAGGATTGCGCCTGGGTATAGAATGCTGCCGTAAATATATACTACTACGGCTGTGCTCCTTGATTACCCCGTGGCTGGACAGGATTGTCATCTGTCGATGTGCTTGACCGGTTCCAATTGTACCATTCCGGTTCTTCATATCTTCGACAAAGTTCATCATTCTCAGCTTTCAGCAGCTGATCGATATGGCGTTTCCAAGTTACACCATTAGAAATTTTGACTAGGTATGTCAGTGGCCCCATATGTTTGATAATTGTGCCACTGACCCATCTTCTCTTTTTGCTAGAATAGTCACGAGCCAAGACTGCTTGACCAAGTTCAAAATATCTTGTTTCACGATTTCTTTTTGAATCTTGCACATTAGTTTGCGTTTCATTAACTTTTGATGCTAGATCAGGCTTCACCAAGTCTAAACGTGAACGTAAAGATCGCTTCATCAATAACATGGCTGCTGTCTCGTTCGTTGTCGAATGAGGTGTATTTCTGTACGCTAGTAAGAAATTATCCAGTTTGGGTAAAATATCACCTTTCTAATTCCTCGGAGAAGAGAACTCTTGAAAACTCTGACAAATTTTTCTGCCATACCATTACTTGACGGATGAAACGGTGCAGACCGTGAATGACATATGCCATTATTCTTCATAAAATTTGCAAACTCTTCCGACGTGAAAGTAGGTCCATTGTCAAACACTAGTTGTTTGCATATACCATATCTTGCAAATATGTGTCGGAGTTCTTTGCGATGTGATAGAACGCATAGGGATCACTTTTGCCCATTTCGAATACGTGTCAATTACAACCAAGAACATCATATCCATGAAAGGTCCTGCAAAATCAACTTGAATTCGTTCCCACGCATTTGAGGGAAAATCCCACATATGTAGTTCAGCATTTGCAGGCATTTTTTGCGTTTCCTGGCAAGAAGCGCATTCTTTCACTCTATTTTCAATTCAGTTAGTAAGTTGTGACCATCAGACATCAGACGCAATTAATTCAAAGCAAGACATTTTAATATAGTCTAGTATTGGTCGTGAGTACTTAGCGCAACTGAAAAATTATTAACCAGTAAAAAGTCGGTTCTTTCAGCGCTACAATTACAGGAGCCGTTTCGCGAAGATTTCGAGGCGATTAATATTTATTTTGGACCTCTTTTGAAAATCCTGACTATGGCTTGATTAAGATAAAGTACGTTGAAGCAATTTATTAATTGTACCAATATTGTGTAGACTTTGGGATTTTATCGTAGATCTTGGGACTTTTTTAAAAACGATATCTTATAAAAAATAATCACAATTAGCTGTCAATACAGTAGAAACTCTACCTACGAAATTATTTTGTTTCGGAAGCCCCTTTGTAAGTACAAAATTCTGTAAGGACGCAGTTTACATATAAATGCCCCAATTCGTTCTTAAGCCTATACAAACCTCGGACATAACATTTGTATAAATTATAATACTGCAGTACTGGGTAAACCCGTAGCACTTACATGTTAGAATTAAATTACCACGTAATAAATAGAAAATGTACACATAGAAAGAATAAAAAAATACCAAATAAAAACTACGAACGGTAGACCGTGGAGAGTGAAAGGGTGGCGGTCGTTTTTTTTTTTAATATTTAATTTTGCCCACAAAACCATTCGTTGGTTCAGAAAAACGCAAATATTATTACGCGATCATTGTCATAATCAAATGGGTACTACCGAAGTATGTGAACCAAGATGGCGAACACTGGAACGTAGTTTATGTACCAGGTTAAGGTTGAAACATAATTTCAGGTACAAATACTACGAGAGTCACTTGGCTATAGTCCCGGAACTCATAATAGAACAAGAATAAGAAAAATTAGAATAAAATTGTGGCCTACCTCTAACTTGGTACACATACTACGTCCCGGTGTCCGCCACCTTGGTGCACATACTTCTGGGGCGCCATCAAATGAGTGAACCCGATTCCTGAATTTCCATCCGTCAATGATGGAGAAATAAGACCGGAAGTCGTGTTTTATTATTCGATTCAGTGCTGCTATAAATATTTCATGCCGGCAGTTATGATTTCATTTCTGATTGTCATCAACGACGTCGGAAAAACGATAAAATTCGTAATATATATATACCAAATAGTATTCAAGAGCTATTCCACACGCTCTGAATTGCAAGAAATGAAAACATTCCCGTAATGTCCGATCACTATCGAAATTGA